TATTCTTTAAAGCACGCATAAAGTGAGACTTAACCAACCACATAAAAAATAAAAAATGTGTATCTCACTAATGAATTTTTGTGCAAATAGATTCAATAACAAACTAAAGTTTAGAACAATGTAGGAAAACAGGGATAGTTCAATGTTAGTAAATTTACTTATAAATTCAATATATTATTAGACCAAAGAGAAAACATGATAATCTTCATGGGTACTGAAAAGGTGTTGATAAAGTTATCCATTCTTGATTTTTAAAAAATTATACAAAAATACAAATGTATAATGAGAAAATCCTTAAAGAGACAAAATATCTCTATCTTAATTCAAAAATCATAATCATGATTAATAGGAACACCAGAAGCCACTAGAAATATTCTCACTAAGATCAGAAATATTACTATCTATTGCCACCACTATTTTTCTTCTTCTTCTTTTTCCATTTTATTTTATTTGTAGTGTAGGGGATTGAATTTAGGGGTGCTGTAACTCTGAGCCACATCCCAAACCCTTATTTTACTTTTTATTTTGATGAAGGACCTGGCTAAGTTGCCCAGGCTGGTCTTGAACTTGTGATCTTCCTGCCTCAGCCTTCAGGGGAGCTAGGATTAGAGGTAAGAGCTAGGATTAGAGGTATGAGCCACTATGCCAGGTCACCATTCTTTTTTTATTGTTGTTGTTTTATATATTTTTTAGTTTTAGGTGGACATAATAACTTTATTTTTATGTGGTGCTGAGGATTGAGCCCAGTGCCTCATGCATGCTAGGTAAGCGCTCTACCACTGAAACACAACTCCAGCCTAGGTCACCATTCTTAATTAACCTTATTTTAATAGCCCTAAACTACAATGGACAAACTGTGACACTGTGAGAAAATAAATATCTGTTGTTGAAATCACTAAGTCTGTGATATCTTGTCATAGTAGACCTAGCAAATGAGTTCAACCTAGTGAGAAAAGGAACAAAAACAAAACAACAAAAGCCTAGGAATAAATTTAATACGAAAAATGAGGAATTTGAAGACTCTTTAAAACACACTTCCCGGGGCTGGGGATGTGGCTCAAGCGGTAACGCACTCGCCTGACATGCGTGCGGCCGGGGTTCAATCCTCAGCACCACATACAAACAAAGATGTTGTGTCTGCCGAAAGCTAAAAAATAAATATTAAAATTCTCTCTGTCCCTCTCTCTTTAAAAAAAAAACAAAACAAAACAAAAAAAAACACACTTCCCTTAAAATGGCTCAAAATTGGCTAAAAAAGAATCACTATTATGAAAGTGTTGAATTTTCCCTGATTTAGTAATTTTAAAAAAGTATGTGTGTGGGGGGGACAGGGTACTAGGAATTGAACCCAGCAGCACTTACCCCAGCCCTTTATTTAAATTTTTTAAAAATTTTGAGACAGTTAAGTTGCCCATTAGGGCCTCACTAAGTTGCTGAGGGCAGCTTTGAATTTGCAAGCCTTCGCCTCAGCCTTCTGAGCTTCTGGGATTACACATGTACTACCGTGTCCAGCTTAGTAATTAAAATTTAATACACTTTCAAAATTCCAATGAAAATACCAATAAAGTTATCTGGGAGTTAGACAATTCTAAAGTTTACATGGAAAAAACAAATAATAATAATCAGGAAAATCCTGAAAAAGAGATTTAAGCTATAATAAATAAAACTGTGTAATATTGGGGCACAGTATTTGTATTTAAAAACTATTCATTCAATAAATGAATTCTAGGGCTGGGGTTGTGGCTCAGTGGTAGAGTGCCTGCCTAGCATGTGTGAGGCACTGGGTTTGATACTCAGCACCACATAAAAATTAATAAACAATAAAGATATTGTGTAAAACATAAATAAATGGATTCTAGATGGACATCTAGAAATAGAGCTTAAGCTATATCATATTTCATACCAAGATAAGTTGCTAATGATTAAAAATTCAAATGTTAAAAAAATTCACATAGTGGGAATGGTGGCACACATCTGTAATACCAGCTACTTAGAAGGCTAAAGCAGGAGGACTATAAATTTGAGGCCAGTGTAGGCACTGGTGAGACTCTGTCTCAAAAGAAATAAAGTTGGAAGTGTAGCTCAGTGGTGGAGCACATGCCTACCATGTGTGAGGCCCTGGCCCTGGGTTCCATCCCCAGTCCTGCAAGAGAAATAGAGAGAGGGAGGGAAGGAACCATCAAGTTCCAGATAAAAGCTTTTATATTCTTGGTGTGGGCGATACTTTTTAACAATGACACAACAGTAGAAGACATCAAAGTAAAGAAAGATGGTGAAATGAGATGGACATCATGACCCTAGGTACATGTATGATGGCTCTACATTGTGTACAACCAGAGAATTGAACTGTTGTGCTCCATTTGTGTACAATGAATTGAAATGCATTCTGATGTCATATATAACTAAGTAGAACAAATAAAAAAAGAAAAGAAAGAAGTGTGACTACATAAACCCCTACATTCCTGAGCTGCCATAATTCTCATAATATGGTCAAAGACAATAAAAAAAGTTGGCATAAAATTATTGCAAATCACATGGCAGATAAAAGCACTGATTTTGTTATAAAAACCTCTTCAATTAGAGTCCATAGCATGAATAAACAGAGAAAATATACAGACATATATATAGTTTTGCAAAAAAAAAACCGTAAAGAGCTCAGGTTCACAGTTAAATTTACATGGTAATTTTTTTTTGTGTGTGTGTATGTGTGTATGTGTGTGGGAGGTGCTAGAAATAAACCACAGGACCCTGCGCATGGTGGGCAAGCATTCTACCATTGAGCTAAGCCTCCAGACCTTTTTGTTTTTAAGTTTGAAATAGGGTCCTAATAAATTGGCCAGGCTGGCCTGAAACTTGCAATCTTCCTGCCTCAGCTTCCCTAGTTGGTGTAATTATAGGTGTGTGTCACCACATTCAATCTGTTGCCTCTTAACAGTCTGAATGATTGGCACCCATACAGATATGAAGACCAATGGAACAGAACAGAAGACAAAGAAGCAAAACCACATACTTGCAGCCATCTGATACTTGACAAAGGTGCTAAAAATATATTTTGGAGAAAAGATAGCCCTTTTAACAAATGGTGCTGGGAAAACTGCATATCTATATGTAGAAAAATGAAACTAGTTCCCTATCTCTCACTGCACTAAAGTCAAATCCAAATGAATCAAAGACTTAGGAATTAAGACCAGAAACCTTGCAACTGCTAGAAGAAAATAGGGTCAACACTCCATCATATTGGTGGTGACACACTGACTTCCTTAACAAGACCCCCAAAGCACAAGAAATAAAACCAAGAATCAATAAGTGGGGTGCCATCAAATTTAGAAACTTCTGCACAGAAAAGGAAATGATTAAGAGCATGAAGAGAGAGCCTACAGGATGGGAGAAACTCTGCCAACTACTCCTCTGACAGAGGATTAATAGCCAGAATCATATAAAGAACTCAAAAAACTTACCCCCCCAAAAAACCGACAAACCAAATAATCCAATCAATAAAGGGACAATATAACTACACATAAATTTCTCAAAAGAAACATAAATGGCCAACAAATATATGAAAAGTGTTCAATGTCTCCAGCAATCAGTGAAATGCAAATCAAAACTAGACTAAGATCTCATCTCACTTAGTCAAGATGGCTGTTATCAAAAACATAAACAATAATAATGCTAGTGAGGTTGTGAGGAAAAGGTACATGTACATTGTTGGTGGGCCTGCAGACTAATACAATCACTTTGGAAAGCAGTATGGAGATTCCTCAAAAAACTAGGAATGGAAACACCATATCACCAAACTATCCCATTCCTTGGTATTTAGTCAAATGAAATAAAATCAGCATGCTATAGAGATTATAGCCAATGAAGAGAGAGTTTTAATGTTTCAATGTTTTCATAAGCACATTTCACAATAGCTAAATTATGACATCAACCCAAATACCCATCAACAGATAAATAGATTAAGAAATTGTGTAAAATACACAATGTAGTCTTACTCAGCCTTAAAGAAGAATGAAATCATAGCGTTTTCTGATAAATGGATGGAAACGGAGAACATCATGCTAAGTGAAATAAGTCAGACTCAGAAATTCAAAGGTTGAATGTTAAGAAAGGGAAGGGAGCGGGTACAAGATATCATAAAGATATAGGAAAGATTAGTAGTGTAGAAGAAAGATCAAAAGGGAGACAAGAGGGATGGGAAAGGGGAGAAATGAAGAATTAAAAAATCATGTTATGTGCATATATAAATATATCACAGAATTTCACCTTTAAGTAGGAAGAACCAATTAAAAATAAATGGATGAGCAAAAGGAAGACCATTAGAGTAGAGGAAGGAGAATGGGGTGAGGCTTGGGGGGGAATTGGAAGCCAAAATTGAATTTCATTCATGTATGATTTTTGTCAGGATAAACCTAACTACCGTGTGTAACTATAATGCTCTAAAAAAAATAAAAGTCTGCAGGAACTAGCTCCAGCACACAACTAGGTATAAGACTAATGTGCCCACTATAATTATGGTTTTATACAATTATATATAATATCTATCATATTACACTATTTGTGCATATATTAAATATGACTCTTGGTGTGCTTTATTACACATCACTATGCATTGTTCTCCACTGATGTGTGAGAAACCACTCCAAAACTTAGTGGCTTAAAATAAGAATCTCTTCTCTCTCACAGTTCTGTGATTTGACTGGGCTCAGTTGGGTGATTCCCACTTGGGCTCTCACATGTAATTACAGTCAGATGATGCCTAGGGCTGGAGTCATCTGAATGGAAGATGGAGCAGATATACATACAAAATGTTTCTGCACTCAGATACCTGGCATCTCAGCTAGGATGGTTGGAGAAGGTGAGAGCTGTCTAGGGTGATCTAGGTGATCTCTCAACCTCTTGCTCTCTACTTCCCTATCTTTAAGTAACCTTTCCACATATTCATGGATGGCTTGGGCTTCCACATCTCTGTGATCTCACAGTAGTCTGAATTCTTACTGGAGGCTAACTTCTCTCAGAATGAGTATTATAGAACTTGGTAAAAGTTTCCCGGCTTCTTATGACAGCCTCAGGGTCACGCAAATCACTTCTGTGGCATTCTACTAATCAAAAGCAAGTCACAGGACCAGCCCAACTCAAAGAAAGGGACTACATAAGAGCAAGAGGTATGATTTATGGCTGGAGTCTGGGGGTGCCTGTCTTTGAAGAACAGCTACCAAAGGGATCAAAATGTTTAAAAAAATATATAGTAAAATGTAAATCGTGGGGCTGGGGATATAGCTCAGTTGGTAGAGTGCTTCTATTCTTTAGGGTCTTAAGCTACAAAGTACTATCTTTTGTAAATTATCATTGCTCACATAAGAGTAATGCTTGAGTTATAGGGAAGGAGCATTAAAAGCAAAATCAGAAAGAACAAAAGCAACAACAAACTTTCATACAAAGAAACTGAATAACAGGGATGTAGCATGGAATATTTGGTATTATAAGGATCTAGTTAAAGCCAAAATTCCAGGGAAGACATGTCAGCCGCTGCCAATGGTAGGGACACAGTGAGAAGGCAACTCAAGCAACATAGGCTGTGCACATGCTGTAAGCACAGTGTCAGCGTGAGAGGGCAAGACACTGAGGGATGGGGAAAATAGCCACGCCATTGCTATAAAGGAGTTTGAGTGCTTATCTAGCATGTGAGAGGCTCTGGTGTGACATCCAGCACCACACACACATCCCAGATACTTAGGAGGGTGAGGCAGGAAGATTGTAAATTCAAGGCCAGTCTTAGCAGCTTGGTGTGAGACCCTGTCTCAAAAACTAAAAAGGACTGGGAATGTAGCTCAGTGGTGAAGTGTCCCTGGGTTCAAACTCCTTGTAAATGAAGAAAGAGTTAGGAGAATAAATACTAGCTAGAAGGACAAAGCTCATTTAAAAATATTTGAATAAAGGAAAAGAAATACAATATTCAGTTTTTATTTTATAATGAACTACAGATTTCAAAATATTCACAAAATAAATCAGTTCCTTATATATTAAAATAGACAAATGAGAAACATTAAAAATATTCTTTCTTTTATACATATCCCTGAAAACCCAATATTCCTCCTGATATCACAAAATATAATCTTAGTAACTTAGAAAATTCACTTTGACATATTTCTTTGGCCTATCACCTGGGAAATGAAGGAGAATTTCCAGCAAAGGAGAGACCTCAATGTCTATCATAAGCTCCATCTCAATTACTGTCCTCCTACCACAACAGCTCAGCTAGCTATAAACAGACTATAATCACTACCTTCTGAACTATCGATCTTCACTAACACCACTGATATTAATATAACTGCAATATGATTTTGTTCAACCATCATATGAAAAACATTGATCCACATTTACTTTTTCCTACTTAGATCCATAAGCCACCAAAGACCCTGGGGATTAAATTTTTTTTTAATTAAACAGAAAAAAATTACTCATGCACAAGGAGAAAAAAAAAAGCCTAAGGCATATTTATGATTATTTGGTGGCCTAAGTTCAAATTTTGCTTTTGAGACCTTGGCTTTGAATCAGGTTGGTACAAGTTCTTAGTTTCTTTCCTTATCAAGTGGAATCTATACTTTACTAATGGAGACACAGATTGCATTAGATTTACTTTTATTTTTAAAATAAATTCACTACAAAATGTTGACTTATATCAAGCCTGTGGTCATCTAAAACCCAGATAAAAATGAACTACTGATCAGGCTCCTCACGCAGAGTCTGTCGTACAATGGGTAAGCAACAATTCTTGAATAGAGCCTTTTCATTCCAATTTTTATGCATTTTTAATCATATTACACCTTTTTTATTTTTTTGCATGGTAATTAGGATTGAACCTTGTGCATGCTAGGCAAGAGCTCTACCACTGAGCTACATCCCCAGGCCTTTTTACTTTGATACAGGGTTTTGCTAGATTGCCCAGGTTGGCCTCGAACTTACAATCTTCCTGCCTCCGTCTCCACAGTACCTGGAATGCAGCCATGAGCCTTTACTTTCATTATGCTTTAGAAAATCACCTACTTGTTCTATTAGATATAAAGCCCTGTTGTAATGTGATAGTAATTAAGAGAGTGTAGCATAGAGATAGAGAAGTAGACCATGGAAGACAATATCAAAATGAGTTTCACATGTGGAAACTTGACTGATGGTGGAGGTAGCATTAGAAGTGGTGGAAGGATGGACTAGTCAGTAAGTGGTGCTAACTTGATAGCTACATGTTTTTAAAATGGCATCTATCCTCATACCAGATATAAAAATAAATTTTAAAAACCTAAACCTAAAAGGCAAAATTTTTTAAACTGCTAGAAGAAAATACAGAATGTTTTCATGTCCTCAGGGTACAGATTTCTTAAATAAGATACTATTTAAATAATTAAAGAAAAAGACGAATAATAAATAATATATACATTAAAATGTAAATTTCTGTTTATCAGTGGATACCAGTGAAACATGAAAAGGTCAATTACATGATAATCTATAATGAATAAAACTGAGAATTATAACATAGAACATATATATTTGTATGTATGAATAAACAAACAATTCTCAGAAGAAATCTGAATAGCTAATAAACTTAAGAAAAGAATTGACTCACCAGTCATCAAAGAAATACAAACTAAAGTAGCAAAATGATGATTGCCAATAAGACTGGAAAAATTAATATATCAAGTGATGGTAACAATATGGAACAATAAAAACTTTTTTTTACTTTTATATAGGATTCTAAACTGGTACAACCACTCTGGAAAGCAATTAGCAACATACAGCTAAAATTTGGGTACCAGGGATTGAACTCAGGGACACTCAAACACTGAAGCACATTCCCAGCCCTATTTTATATTTTATTTAGAAACAGGGTCTCAGTGAGTTGCTTACCACCTTACTTTTGCTGATGCTGGCTTTGAACTCACAATCCTTGTGCCTCAGCCTCCTGAGCCACTTTGATTACAGGCATGTGCCACTGCGTCTTGCCTCACATATCTTATAACTCACAAAATTCCAGTTTTAGGTAAAAACTTCAGAGAAATTCACATGGATGTGTAAGAATATTCAGAACAGCATTATTTATAATAGGTAAGAAATAAAAAACCACCTACATATTCATTAGGAACAGAATAAAGAAATGGGTGTGATACATTCATGCAACAGAATGCTGAACAGCAAGGAAAGCAACAAACACGCATCACCCCAGACAGATCCCATAAACATGAGGGGCAAAGGCAAGCTGCATAAAATGCACAGATTTAACACTATAAAGTTTAAAAAATAACTTTAATAATGTTATTTATGAAGATGTGAATAAATGTTAAGTAAATATACAAAAAACACCAAATTCTAGATAATAATACTTTAAACAGGAGACGTGATAAAGGGTATCTATCTAAGGAGTTTTGTTAGTATTATTTATTAAGTAGGCAGTAGATCCACTAGCATTCAACATATTGAATATACATACATATCTGTGCATCAGAAACATTTAAAATGCCTTTTAAAAAGCAGAGAGGTAGGTTAGGGCTGCCCCAAGGCCAATATCTCAGATAAGGAAACTCTCTGCAGCTGAAGGGTGTCTACTGACAAAATTTCCTGTACCTGAGTGGCAAATCTTTGGGGACCATCTGGCAGTGCATCTCCATGTCTGCCACAATAGTTTTATAAGGTACAAAACTCTAATTGAAAAGTTTTTTTCCCAACATTTTAAAGATAGTATAATACCACCTTTTGGTTTTCATTGTTGCTGGGAGTCAGTGGTTATTCTGTTTGTCTATTTTAGATGTCCTCTTTTAGAGACTTCTTTCAATATTTTTGCCTTTGGTGTTCTGCAGATTTACCAAAACGTAGATTTATGTGTATTTGTTGTACTAGGAAAATATACTACCTCCTTTACTGACAGATTCACATGTTCAGCAATTTTGGAAAATGTGCAGCCATTTTTTCTCTTTAAATATTGTCTCCCTTACACTTTGTGTCCCCCTCCCTCTGACTGAATTCCTATTAGGCCTTCTCACTTTATATTCCATGTCTCTTAACATCACTTTCATATTTAATTGTCCTTTTTTCACCTTTGTAAACCAGTTCACTAAATTTCTTTTTATCTAGTTCACTAGATTTCTCTTCATCTTTGTCCATAACTGCTGTTTTGTATTTTTTTTTTTTTATTTTGGTACTGGAAATTCAAGCTAGGGGTGCTTTACCACTGAGGCATATCCCCAGCCTTTTTAAATATTTTGAGACAGGGTTTCATTAAGTTGCTTAGGATCTAAGTTGCTGAGGCTAGTATTGAACTTGCAGTCCTCTTGTCTCAGCCTCCCTAGCCACTGGGATTACAGGTGTGTGCCACCACAGCAGGCCTGTATTATATTCCAGCAATGGAGTTTCTACTTCAAAAGTTGTTTCTGGAAATCTCATTTTTTAGGGCTGGGGTGGTAGCTCAGTGATAGAGCCTTGCCTACCACATGTGAGGTACTAGGTTCAATTCTCAGCATCAATCACATAAACATAAATGAACGAAGTAAAGGTATTGTATCCATCTACAACTAAAAATATATTTAAAAAAAAGAAATATCATTAAAAAAAAACAAATCTATTATTGCCAGGCACAGGAGTACATACCTATAATCCCAGCAGCTCAGGAGGCTGAGGCATGAGGACTGTGAGTTCAAAGCCCACCTATTATTTCTAAAAAGAATGCATTTATCATTATTCAGCAATTGCCAATTTTGTTATCTGGAGTTCTGATCTAAGCCTGTTGTAGTTACACTCTCAAGAGAGTCTTGTTTTCATAATGGAATTATATTGTAAGATATTTGTTTGGAGAATCAGTGGGAATCCTATAGAAGGAGTTTGCTTCTGCTTACTGGCAGGAGGAAAAATCACCTGAAAACACTTTTAGTCTCTGACCCTAGTGATCTAGGCTCAGCAAGGAAGTTCTGGAACTACCATTTGACCCAGCTGTCCCTCTCCCTGGTCTATACCCAAAGGACTTAAAAACAACCTACTACAGGGACACAGCCACATCAATGTTTATAGCACAATTCACAGTAGTTAAACTATGGAACCAACCTAGATACCTTTCAGTAAATGAATGGATAAAAAAATTGGCATATATACACAATGGAATATTGCTGATTAATAAAATGAT